TGTTGACTCGAGCGCCAGCACGGCTCGGCGCAGACTGCCACGTTCGGCCAACCCCTCCGCTCGACTCAATACACCTGTCACGTCGGGTTGGTGACGCGGGGGTGGAGGGGTGTTGACTGCGTTTACTGCATCTTGGTAGAGCTGCGTCCACTCACCACGCTGGAATGCCCGGAGCTGGGCCTTGATTTGCGGCCAGTTTGGGTGCTTTGGCGAAGCTTGGCGAAGGGTTAGACGTGGGAGGAAAAGGAGTAGACGCCAGCCGGCCTCGGAATCAGGGTTTCGCGAGAGGTGGTGTAGGGGTGTCAGGAGTGCCAGCGAAAATAGTTGGCACAAATTAGGCGGTAATCGTCTTGACAGTGGCGATTGTCGACTGTCGCAGAGGGCGGAAATATCCCAGTTCGCGATGTCAGCGAACATGTCGCTCCTCTCTGCCAACTCCTCTGGCGAGAAATACTGGGGCAGCTGCGGGGTCGCGACTGACGCATGGCGAAATGACGCGGTCCGATTTCTTCGAGCGCGGCTCGATCTCGCTGATTGCTGCCGAGTTGGATTCCCAGCTGTTCGATCAGCAGCGGACGGCCCTACTAGCCCCTCCGTTTCTGCCGTGGGTAAATTGGCTGCACCTGGTCCTCTCCTCCCCGATCCTACCCTTGTTATCTCAGCTCCATCCCCTTCTTCGTTTTCACTCTCTGGCTGCTCTTCCGCGGTATAAGAGGGGTCATTTCTCTCCTCGACTTCATTAGCTGCTACCAGTGCTATTAAAGCCCAACGCCCTGCCGCCTGATACCCGTTCTCCGGTCCTCCGCCTGCTTCGCTAACCATCTGGCTCCTCTCTCCCTGGGCCCCTCGTCCACGCGATGGTGATTGCCGGTGCGCCTGAGCCGACGCCAGAGCTCGTTGCCTCCTGGTCGGCAATGGTCGCTAGGCCTCTGTCTGAGCCCAAAAGGGCGACCACGGCGACGAGGCCCCCTCTGCTTCCGGCTCCGAAGCCCTCGACAACATCCTCTAAAAGGATTCCTCTCCCCGGACCCGCGGCTCTCCTTGTCGCGGATGCGCCTGGTTCAACTGCGACTGTTGTCGCTCAGACTCCTCCAACTGCTGTTGCTGTTCCATCCGCCCCGGCTGTGCAGGCTGAACCCCGGGCGTCCCCTGCTGCACCGCCGGAGTCTGTCGCCGACCCCTCGGCTCCCTTGCCTGCGGGACTTGTCGCCGCGCCTGAGTTGCCGACTCCTGCCTCTGTCTCGTCCCCGCAGGCGGCGTCCGCCACCACTGGCGGCCCGGCCTCGTTGGTTGCCCCGCCGGTTGGGGGTCCGGCTGCACCTGTTGTGCCGCCGACTGCTCCTGTGGCGCAGCTGTCTCGCCCGTCGTCACCCAGCCGGCGCCCATCTCGCCCCCATTCTCCCGCTCCCCAGCAGGATCTTCAATCCTCTCGGCGCCGGCGCAATTCTCCCCGTCACCCGCATCAGCAGGCCCAGTGGCACGCGAATCACGGCGGCCGCGGTGGCTGGTGGGGTCCCCGCGGTCGCGGAGGTGGTGGGGCGTACGATCCGCCTGTGAGGATGGCGGATCTGCAGCGGGCGGTGTCAACTGCAGTGCGTGAGGAGATGGCCGCCCTGACCCAGGGCAGCTCTCACGCTGTTGTGGCACGTGCTGCTCCTCGACAGGCTGTGCTTCCTGTGGATCCGCCGCCAGCTGCACCTGTCCCTCATCAGAGTCCGGCCCCGTCGGCTCCCGCTGTTTCTGCCTCTGCTCCTGTTCCTGGGTCTCGGCTTTGTCTCCCGCCCGTTCCGCCTGTGGCGGGGGTTGAATTTGTGGCTGCGGGAGGGGGAGCGCAGTATCCTCATCCCGGAGTTGGCGGTTCAGCAACTCCTGCTCTCGAGGAGCCGTTTCAGTTTCTGGCCCAGGAATTACAGCCCCCACAGTCCCGTGTTCCAGAGGCGACTCTCGCCCAGCTCTTCCGCCTCGCAGAGAGCTTTCACGCTCTGCTCCTGATACAGGTTCTCGCGCATTCGTCACTTCCTGTAGTTCCCCCTAAGACATTCCAGGATCGCCACCGTGAGTCATGCCTGGACGCAGCCGACCAGCTCGCAGTGGTGCTAGCGCCCGTGCTGGCTGCGCCCGTAGAGGGTGGAGTTGCGGCTGCTGGGCAGCTCGATGAGGCTGTGCGCAGCCTGAGGCGCCATTTGCGTGCTGGTTCAGGAGCCGCCGCAATCGACGCAAGCACGCTTGTGGTCCGGGAGCTGTGGCGCTCCCTGACGGGCGTTCTTCACGCCCTTGGAGCTCACCGCATGTAGTCGCGGGCTCCGTTTGCCCCATGCTTGGTTTACTTGGCTAGGCTACCGTAGCAAATGCCATGCTTGTACAGATTCCGATTATGAACCACTGTGTGTGTTGTCACTTGCCGTCCCCTCACGCGCGGCCGAAGGCCGCGCCGTCGAGCGTCGGCCGCCGAAGGCGGCCGGCGCGAGGGAAAAATTCCGGCCCACAAATGAATAATGAGCAGAGGAAGCTAGAACAGCCACTTAAGTACCTAGGGAACCGAGGATAGAGGCTAAGGGCAGAGGGCAGAGGCTAACCCTCTCTCAAGCAATCCTTCATTGATAGGTTCATAGGGGTACAGGCATGGCAAGAACAGGTGCAGAACATCCCTAGTACTATGAGCAGCCGGTAATGCTTGGCAGGGCTAAGGTAGGCACGACGGGTAGCCAGGCGAGCAAGTCATCGGTACCAGTAGGTCAGGACCTTGAGGGCAGGGGAGGGGAGGCAAAACACACAGGGCAGGCACACAAGGCAAGGCCAACCCGAGCAAGGCAAGCAAGGCAAGGCAAGGCAAACAAGACAAGGCAGGGCCGGAAATGCAAGTGACTAACACTCAGCTAGACACCCATTCCGTTGCTATCCCGCTCACTGACCCATCACCCCGTCCATCTCATCCTCCAGGACCTGCCAGAGATCCCCTAGGCTAGGTTCCCAGGGGTCCCTGGCCGCCTGTGAGAAGGCTGCCACGTCCCCTATGTTCGGCTTGTTCAGGAATGACGAGGCCTGTGAGCGCTGTAGCATGACGCTGAAGCGCTGCCTGTAGTGAGCGGTGAGCCGAGCAGTGGTGGTGGTGAGCCTCCCCCGGCGGAACCTTATCTTCGCCGTCGAGGCTGCTAACAAGCGGATGAACTGCTGTGTATCCGTAGCTAGGGCACCGTATGTTTCCACCGCCAACCCAAAGAAACCCACGTAGTCAGGCCGCCCCTCATAGATCCTGTGTTTCCTCTCTGAAGCTTCCCTTGCCGCCCATCCAGGTGGCTTCCGGGCGCGCTTGTCACGGCACTGCAGCACTGGGTCGGTTACTGTCACGTCTGTGACCCAAGTCTCATTCGACTCCTTGTCCCGAATAGCAAGGTCTCCTCTCTTCCTCAGCACCGGTGGGGAAAAGGCAGTGGTTTCGTGGAAAACCGTGAAGTCGGCCTCCTTCGCCATCCGGAGCAGAGCAAACACTAGAGCATTGTGTGTGCGGACGACATCTCCCCCGTACCCATACCGCAAGAGGTGGTTTGCCAGGCTCGTGTCCGTGATTGCAGTGTTGGCGCGCTTGCACGGGCAGGTGACTGTGACTGGAAGAGCCATGCCGAGGCGAAAGCCAAGTGCCAACGAGAACTGACCAGGGGCGAAAGTAAGGTCAGATCTCGTTGGGACGGCATGGAGCCAGTCCCCCGCGCCCACCCCTTGCAAACTGATGAGCCGTACTGCGTGCCCACGGTCCTTCCCTGGGCGGTCTTCTATTGTGTCAGCCAGCAGCTCCGCCGCCCTCGTCTCATTGATGTGGCGAGACAGGGTCAGTTGAAGGTTCCCCTGTCCCGCCGGCTGCTCCCTGTAAGTGTGTAGTGCCGCCCGTGCAGCTATGGGTAGCCCAGCTTCCAGAGTTGTCAGGGGGTTGATGCCGGGTGGGGTAGGGGTCCAATCGTGGCACAGCAGCTCGACTGCCCTGCTCAGGAGATAGGCCTCAGGTAAGTTCATCTGGCGCAGCAACTGCTGCGCCGCCGTGACCGAGGCGATGTAGGCCGCAGGTGCCTCGGAGACTGGGTCAATAATCCCCAAACCTCCCAACCTGACCGGCAGAGTCCCCTGGCGCCACAACAGACTCCTCTCCAGCTCGTCTGTAGGTACCCGAAGCTTCGCCGCTGCTAGTGCCGTTGCCATCAGGGTCTCACTCCAGCCCCTCCACCCCTCTCTCCCCAGGACTTCCGCCGGTGTCGTCCGCAGAAAGTAGGAGATTCGGCGGGATATGCTCCTCGTGAGGATGAGCATTGCGCTCTGCGGGTGGAGCTGCGCCACCAGAGGTAACGGGGCCGACGCCTCATCAAGCCGTGTCTGTGCTTGGGTGGTGCAGAAGGCAGGCAAGCCGACTGGGCTGCCTAGAACCCGGATCCCATCTGCGATCTGCTGCAGGCCAATGGGAGGTGGCGTGCCGCCGTCATCCGCGAGCGATTGTCCCCATGCCGACGATTTTGCGATGTTGCAACGGAGGCCGAGCGTTGCCAGCTCCCTGGTAATGGCCCCAAAAGCCTCGTAGCAGGCCTCCTTCGGCCCCACTATCGTTATGTCGTCGGCGTAGGCCACTATCGCGACTTCCGGTAAGAAGGTCGCCGTGCTTAGCAGGCATGGTTGAATCGCGGCCGCGAAGAGTAGTGGACCGAGCGGGTCCCCTTGACGCACCCCGCGTGATGAGAGGATATGGTTCACTCCTAAACGTTCGACCAAGAGTGACGACGGTGCCCCATAGAGAGTTCGGACCAGGGGCATGAGCTGCAGCAAACTGGACTGGGAGAGAGCGTTGAAGAAAGCCGCCCGTTCGACACTGTTGAAGGCGTTTTCTATGTCCAGCTGTAGCGCTACTCGTGTGTCGTCGTCCCTTAGTAACGATCTGACGGAGTGGATGATACACTCTGCGCCTCCCGGTATCGCCACCCCAAACTGCACTGGTAGGAAAAAATCTCTGATGTTGTCGGTTAAGCCACGTAGTGCTGCCTTAGCTACGACTCGAAGTAAAGCCTCCCCTATCGCAATAGGACGAACGCCTCCTCCTGGCTTTTCTAGGGCGATCAACCGTGAAGGCAGCAGCAAGTCGCGGGTCGTTTGTGTCTGGAACGTGCTCAATAGGTAAGTCACTTCCTTAGCGAGTAGAATAAGCACCTCCCCGTTTGCCAGTGCCGGATCCTTGAGGTGTTCGAAACAGGTGCCAGATGGGCCTGCTCCAACCCCGTTCGGGCATTTCTTGAGGATTTCGCGAAGCTCGTCCGCTGACACACTGAGGGTCGAACGGTTGAACCCGGTAACCAGATCCGGTAGCGATGTTTCAGCTGCGGGGTGTTTCGCTTGGAGGGCAGACAACGTCACAGCCGTGGCTTCTGCGAGCGGTGTAGTTCGTAACGCCGCAACCGCCTTGGAAATGTTTCCTTTACGTATCAAACCCTCCGCCCTTGCGCATAAACCTGCGTCATCTGGTTGGTGTCGTATCGGACTCTCGTTGTCGGGGATGACACATGCGTCGGTGTAGAGGGGCTGCCAGATGCCGAGTTGGAACTGGTGCGGGCGCAGCTCTATTGCCGTCCACCGACTGCCTTCAACAGGTTCAGGGGCCGGACGCAACGTCAGCCTCGGCAAATACTGCAGGATCGCCCATGCACCTGGGCAGTCAGGATATTTCGAGAGACTAATGAGTGGCGCCAGGAGGCAGAGCGTGTAGCTTTCCAGGATCTTGGGCGGCATTCTGCGCACCACGAAGGGTTGGTCCCCTTTTTGGAGTGGGTATTTCTCCCACGTGGCTGCCAGCTCCCAGATGACAGTGTCGTCCGCCAGGTCAGACGGTGATCGGACCCCTGAGTCACTCTGTCCCTCATTGGGTGCGTCCCCGTTCTCTCCCACCACCCGAGGGTTTCCCCTCTCTCCATTCACCTCCTCGTTCCTAATTCTCGTCCCCTGTGGGTTATCGGCCTGGGGGTTTAGCCCGCTGCTCTGGTTTCTCCTTCGTTCCCCAGCCCTTCTCGCCACGCGTACATCCTCCTCGTCCTCCAACGAGATTTCCTCAGATGGCTCCGCCGATTCAGCTATATATTCTTCCCCCTCCTCTATGTTGGCCTCATCATCTTCGTTTTGATTCGTCGCTGGCTCCGCTTGCTCCGGTCGGTCGTGGCGTTCCCGCCACGTTCCCGTTCGCACGAGCGCAACCCTTCCGCCAACGATTGGACCCCTTCCGCCCCGTCCCCCTCTGGCACCTCGCCCTCCTCCCCTCGTTCCGCGAGCCGTAGCTCCGCCCCTGGTGCCGGCGTTCTGCTCGCCTCGGCCGGTCTGTTGCGGTATTCCCGCCGGGATCCACGGCGCCAGCATCGGCGTTGCCTGGCCAACCCTTGGCGGGCCCCAGGTAATGCCTTGTGCTCTCGTCACACTGCGTGTTTCACGCCGCGGGGTCTGTTGAGCCGTGACGGCAACCGTGGATGTTCTCTCCCCCCCCCTAGCCGAAGTCAGCGAATCCCGGCGCGGTGGTTGTTGCGTTGATGGACCTGCCACTGCATTCCCTGCCGCGTTGTTGCTCGCTGTGGGTGCTAGCCTGATACCATTCCCTGCCTCCATGTCCCCGCCACTTGTCCCCCCAGATGGCCACTGTCGCTCTTGCCCTTGTGGCAACTGCCCTTGCAGAAGCCAGCCCAGGAGGGGTCCCGGGGGACCAGGTCCCAGCCCTGCTCCGGGCCGCCTCGGTGCTGGCTGGGCTCGAAGCTTCATCTTCCCGCGGGCAGCGCCAGAAGTCCCGCCGGGTCCGTGACCCCGTCTTTCGCTCCCCCCCCCGGCCGTGCCCCTGCTTGCTTGCGCCCTCGGCAGCAGCAGACGTTCCGGCGCTTGCAGCGGCAGTCTGCGCATCCTCCTCGGCCAGGGCTCCGTCCTGTTCCCCTGCCGCCGCCGTCACCGCCGCGGCCAGCACAGACGCCGTCACAGGCTCCGGTGACACCGCCAGCTCCACCTCCTCGGTCTGTTCCTGAGCCACTGCTGGTGCCGGCTCCTCCGGCTGCCACGCCTGGGGGATGGCAGAGGGTGAGGCTGAGCCGCCGCCAAAGGCAGCGTCAGGCCCGTCAGACTCAGCAGCAACCTCCGCCCCAGTCGCCTCAGCAGCAAGCCCCTCCGGCCCCGCAGCCACCACAGCCTCAACCATCACAGCCGCCTCCAGCTCCGTCATTGTTGCGGCATTTCCCGCTGCCGCCGCGGCCGCAGCCGCATCGCCCCCTGCCTCCTGGTCCTCCGCCAACTCCTCAGGTGTTGCTATTCCCTCCCGGCCCCCCAGCTCCCCGCGTCGCTGCTCGTGTGGCCGCGACTCCTCTCCACGTTGAGCAGCGCGTAATGCACGTGGGGACGTGTTTGACGCTGCTGTCATACGTACTGGACCAGCTCCATGTGTGTTTGGCGCGCCAGGGAGTGGAGGTTGGGGCGATGGAGCCGTCAGAGCAGTCGGCGGCGGTGTCTACAGCGACGGAGATGCTCCATTATCTCCCCCTGATCGGACTTGTCCAGGGCGCCCCTGGCGCAGCGCTCGGGCCTGGCCCTGGGGCGATGTTGCGGCTTGCTAAGTCCGCTCGAGAGGCCCCTCTTGGCCTTGTATCAGCAGCCGCATCCGTCCTTCGCTGGATGGACGGGAGGCTTTGCTGGATACTCGCTGAGTAGCGGGCGTTTTCCCCTTGCCGGCCTCCTTAGTAGCTGGCCGTGCCTTGGGCTTCCCCATGGCGGTGTAGGCACGCCTGGGGGTGTTGCTGTTGTTGTGTGTTGTCTAGCCTTGCATGTTGTACTGCTCCATGCTATAGTCCTTGTTCCCTTGGTCCTTGTCACACCTCACGCGCGGCCGTAGGCCGCGCTGGCGAGCGGCGGCCGCCGAAGGCGGCCGGCGCGAGCTGCCGGTTTTGGAGAGTGAAATGAACTCACCAGTGAAGAATGAGCTCCAAGGGGTGCATCTAAGGACTTTATACTAGGAGACTATGCTAAAAAACGGCTAAGGAATGGATTCTACACTAGAGAGGGCTAAAAACGGCTAAGGACTAGACCTAAGCCATCTCTCTCTCTTTCTCGCTCTCTCTCGAGCGAGCCGCCGGTTTTGGAGAGTGAAATGAGACCCTCTCTCTCTCTCTCTCGCTCTCCGGCGCGAGGGAAAAAATCCGGCCCACAAATGAATAACCGCGGATGACCGCGGGATAGTAACAAGCTGGAAACGGTTTAGCCAGGAGCTATGTTGCTTGAACTCTGGGCTATTTCTTTCTTTTTGGTTTGTCCTTGCTTTTTCCGTCTTGTATAGGATCTGATCAGTTTAGGATTTGGAAAACTTTATAATTGGGACTTTTCATTACTCACACCATGTGAGAACAACTTGCATGACAGATATGTTCCACACTACCTGTATACAGTAGCGAACATTCATTAACGTAGAGCTCGTAGTCATGTAGAAACATGATCTCAAAACCAACGAACATGTGCCCTCGCGTAACAACATGTTTCCGATCATGGCTCGTGCGTAAGATCTTGCTCTTTATTGAATACGCGTTTCATACCCGATGCATGATTATCCGTTTGAAACAGATAACCCTATACAGTCTCATTTGGAGTTCGAGAAACATCCAAAACAAAGTACGCGCTCAAAATAACATCTGGTCATGTACAATCCCGAAAATAAGGTGCAGGTATCCAGGAAAGTAACATCAACCAGGGTTTTGAGTGTATACTCAACGTGGCTGTACATGTGAATGTCCATTCACCATGAACACAGTTTGTATCTGTCCCTGCCCTATTCCTGATATGGCCGTGAAAATATCCCGGGATGATGCAGGAAACTGTGGTCCCCCTACCATATTTGCTAAACATCCTTCTCACCGTTGGACCATGTGCTATTATTTCCGTGCAAATGTCAAACCCATTCGTGAATATCTGTCTTTATGACACCCACCCGCTATGTTTCAATTAGTGGATGGGGGTGTGTCAAACTATCTTATATTTGAGTAGGCTGTAGCTAGACATAGTATATGTGAGGTTTGTGGTAATACTCATGTAACGTCATGTTTTTTTTTGTTGGTAGGTGAAATATTCACTATACACGTACAATGCAAAAACACCATGGTCGTACCCGGTGCTAGAGGGCATAGGTTGTGTATACCGTACCCTCTCAGCTTTCTACGGGGGTTGTGTAAACGCCTAAAAATCTCAATTAACCCACTTGGAACTTCCGTTGCAATGCTGGCAAACTTCAGCACTGGTAGGAACCGAACCATACCTCCCCCTTGATCCAACCATCGCTTCAGCTGAGACTGGTTCACTCTGGACCTGTACTCCCAAGCGTGGGTTGGCTTGGTTGTACCAGGCGATGGCCTGATTTGAGATCGTCGGCAAACACCTCTGCACACTCTTGCGATCTGGCGTATTGGAGAACTTCGAGTAGCTTTTGCAGCTTCAGCACCTCCAGAAATGAGGAAAGATCCATGGCGTCGAGATATTATATAGCTGTCGTCGGAATCTTGTACTTGGTAGTATTCTTCTTGGAACTTCTTAGCCTCGTCGTGTCCAAATTTGTTGGCGATTTCATTGTCCATGAGCTTCTGATAAGGGTCTTCATCTTCAAATGAATGGGTAGGAGATCGGCTTTCTTGCTTAAAACTTCCAGGAAGAAACTTGTTGTCTTTTTCATATACTTTAATAGACATAAATGAATTTATTCTCGACGTGTCAGATGTCCGCTGTTGCTTGGTTTTTTGTTGTTGTTGAATGGCAGCAAATGCCGATAACCGGAAGACGTTCCTGTGAAAATTTCTCTTAAACTTGTACTTGACGTGTTGCCTAGAATCTTTAGTATGATCATGATCCGAGCTTGCGTGACGACTTGATCTAGCCATGTTAATCTTCCTTGGAACAGCTTGAGGAAATTGATCAATATATGAAGCTTGAAAGCAGTACTTAACCTGGAAAAACGGGATTTTCAGGTGAAGCGACGACCACCAAATATTCTCTGTGTGAACACATTTTAGGTGTCAACAGCTAGCTCCTGATGAGTAAATCCCGAAACAATAATCAGATTTGAAAACTGAAGCTCTTAGACTTGACATTGTTGCTGTTGTTCCTAGTGCTTGGAAGCCATGGCGGGGAGATCATTGGTTAGAAGTCGTGACCAAAGAGCTTTGCTCCATTCAACTCGAAGTTCGAATGTAGACTGAAGTCGGAGACATCCAAGGTGTGTGAATTTGGTTGGCGGAGGAGTTTGTGTAACGTCATGTTAGCTAACAGCAGCATATATGTCTCTCCTAATACTTATCCCCTGTAGTTTGTTTGGGAGGTCGTGACATGTAAACGTGGGCTTTTACGAAGCCGTACTAAACGTTTCCATGCTGATTGCGTACTGTTACACGCGCAATTGAGTGAGCGAGCGAGAATTGCACTAACGAAGCAACATTGAGCGAAGGCATGAGCGAAAAATATATAGCGAAGCCAAAGTGGTAATGGTAATGTGTGAAAATGAGGTGCGCTAGGGCCTAGCGCCGAGGCTGGGAATTGTCGAGGCGGAGGCCCGGGGCGCAGGTTACCAACCGAATTGTGAGGTTGGGTCGCGTCGTGAACAGTGGTGGGAGCAGTGGTCGAGGCGAGTTTTGCGAGTGGTAACGGTGTACTGTTGAGAGTTGTTGGCGGGAACAGTGATGTACGCGCTGAGCAGGGACGCGGAGTAAGGAAAATGAATTTTCCTTACACTACCTCTCCCCTTAAGGAGGCCCTTCTGACAAAAGCGCGTGTACATCCCAGAAATCTCGTCTGCGCAGATACTTGGTGAACCCAGTTGTCTTCGGTGGGCGTGCGGTCTTTCCACCGGATCAGAAATTTGATTATGCGGGCTCCACGTGGGTCAAGAACTCGGTGACTCCGTATTTCTTCGGGCGTAATGATTGGCTCTGTTGGCGGTCATGTCATGCTGTTTGGGCGGTTGCGAGGCAGTTGGCTGGTGGATGGGACGTAAGGGCGGAGGAGGCTGACGTGAAATGACGGGCTGACGTACCAGTCAGCAGGGAGGAGGAGGTGGGCGGTGACGGGGGTGATCATGTGGTTGATACGAAATGGCCCACAATATCGGGGGCGGAGTTTTGGGGTGATGGGCAGGCAGAGGTTCTGGGTGTCGGGTAAGACGAGGTCGTTGTGCTAGTAAGTAACGGGTCGGCGGTGGCGGTTGGCGTTGCGCTTAGCGACGATGTTTGATTTTTTTTATTGCGTCTGCTGCTCGGGTCCGTGCTGCCTGTAAAATTTCTGCGAATTGTTGCACACGTGGCACCGGGTTGTCGGGATTCGGGGTCATGGGTACTGTAGGGTCTTGTCCATAGTTCAGGTAAAACGGTGACTGTTGGGTAGTAGCGGATGGCAAGTTGTTGTATGCGAATTCAATGAGTGGCAGTTGTTGTTCCCACGTGGTTCGGATTAATTGCTCCATGGTCTGGTTTGTCTGTTCTGTCCGTCCGTTTGTTTCGGGGTGGTATGATGAACTGAATTGTAGTCGCGTGCTGAACTGCTGCCACAGGTTCCGCCAGAAGTTGCTGGTGAATTTCGTGTCGCGGCCACTGATGATCGCCGCTGGTGTCCCGTGCAGTCGAATGATGGTGGCAATGAAGAGGCGGGCTGTTTCTTCGGCTGTGATTGATTTTTCCAGGCTACGAAATGTGCCGTCTTCGTCAGCCGACCGACGACGACCAGGATCGTGTCGTTCCCACTTGCTCCAACCGGTAACCCCGTGACGAAGTCCATCGTCACCTGCTGCCAAGCACGCTCTGGGGGTGGTATCGGCTGAAACTGCCCTGCCGGCCGCTTCCGTGATGATTTCATGAGTTGGTAGGTGGGACACGATGCCACGTGTCGATGTACATTGGTCAACATTTCGTGCCAGTAATAATACCGCTGCAGTTGCTGCCGTGTTTTTTCTACTCCAAAATGGCCTGAGGTAACCCCATCGTGTGCCTCCTATAGTAACAGCTCCTTAGTAAGGTGTAGCCCAGTACCCAGATGCGATCAGTGCCAGTTGTTACGTAATAAACCCCCTTTGCTGCTGCGTGTTGAGTGCAAAACGCAGTTTGCACGTCAACCTACCGCCTATTCGCCGACGGTAAAGGTAAATGAGTGGTTCTGTTTGAAGATAATTTGTGGAGTGTGAGGAGCGCATTTGTGTGCTTAACATATGTGCGTTTACGTTTTGTGAATCGTCTTAGTGATTCATAAGTTTTGTGCTTTTTTGTGTGTGAGTGCATTTCATGTGTGTTCATGAATGTTCATGAGTTTCCGTGAAGGCGCATGAAAGTTCGTGAGTTTCGGTAAGTTTGCGTGAGTTCAGTCAACACTGCGAACTACTGCGAGTTTCCTCCACTGAAGAAT